TGGGGGGCTGTGGGGTCTCGGGGGGCTGTGGGGTCTCGGGGGGCTGCAGGTCTTTGGCAGGGGGCATGTGGGGAGCCCGTGTCCTTCCCGGCCGTCCCGGCGCTGATCCCGATCCCGATCCCACAGCAGCACCCAGTGGCTGTGCCTGGGAGACAGGACGCGGCACCCACCCGGGAGCAGGGATTTGCCCTCCCGTCCCATTTGGACTCTGTCCCGGTCCCAATCCCGGCTGGAAGGGCTCCCGGGCTGGGAGCTGGATCCAGTGCCCGGCTCTCCTGCGGAGCGCAGCCCTGGGATGGGCCGGATCCAGCCCCGGGATGGACGCGTGGAGTCCTGGGATGGCCACATGGAGCCTCGGGACGAGCTGGATCCAGCTCCGGGGTGGACACGTCTAATCCCGGGATGAGCTGCACCCACGCGGGACGGACACACGGAATCCTGGGATGCGCCAGAGCCAGGCCTGGGATGGACACGACGATGGACAAAGGGCAGGAACCAGTTCCCCCCACAATAAACCAGTTTGGGGAGAGGGGTCTGCCTGTTCTCACCCCAAAACCGGTGTGTCCCCCCCCTCACCAAAGCCACTGTCCCCACGGAGGGGCCGCCACGTCCACGCCCCCAAATTCCCCGGGATGGGAGAAGGGGATTTTGGGGGACCAGGATGGGGGGGCCAGGCGGCCCCCCCAAAATCTGGTGTGGCCCTGGGGGGCAGGGGGAGGGTCGGGGGTTGTGGGTTGGGATTTTGGGGGAAGGGGGCGGAGCGGCCGCTGGTCACTCCCAGAGATTCCCGGAAAACGGTTCCTTTTCATTTTCGCTTTTCCATGTTTTCCACGCTGGGAGCAGGAGGAGGGGGTAGGGGGGGAAGAGCCTGGCTGTGCTTTTTGGGGACCCTGCCGTCCTTTTTGGGGACCCCCTCCGGCCTCTTCTCATGGCACAGGGCACGTGTGGGGAGCTCCTTGCTGTGCCCGTGTCCCCCATACCCAGAGCTCACTGTGGGATCCCCCAAATCCCCTGTCCCCGTGTGTCCCCCATACCTGGAGCTCACTGTGGGTCCCCCCAAATCCCCCTGTCCCCGTGTGTCCCCCATACCCAGAGCTCACTGTGGGATCCCCCAAATCCCCCTGTCCCTTTATCCCCC